AATTGTTTTATAAATTATAATAAAAAGGGGAAATTGCCAAATATAGCACTTTCATGATACCACATTTCATTTATACATTAACCAATTTTACCATTAGAATTTTAATTGACAAAGTACTTATATACCCTCAACTAATTAAGTCTAAAACTAACTCTTATCTCAGATTCAATCGACAGCCGATATATTCTCCGGAGGTGATGATTTCTCCGGCTAGATCAGGCGACGCTGAAGAGTTTTACGGCGAGATCCTACGAAGCTACGGCGAGATGCGACGAAGCTACGGCGAGGTCCGTCGAGCCGCGGAGCTTCTTGTGAAGGTCTGAAATTGAGTATCTATCTGTTTCAGAGGCTTCAGCTTGAGAGAAGAGAAACTCTTTTTCAAACCAAAGCTCACCGGTGAGATAGAGAAATCATTTACATTCTTGTGGTGATTCACACAAGCTCTTCCGATCAACAGATTCGTTCTGCTAATTGTTGCTTCCGCCATTAGAAAAAAGGTATCAACTTTGGAAACCTTACGGAAGAGGTGACTCTTGTGAAACCTCTTCCTCTCTCTCTCTCCTTTCTCACAAGAATCTCTTCTTCTCAGACCAAATTCAGCCTAAATCAGCCTCGACAGAGAGATCTCCTCCTCTTCTTCTTCTTCTCCATTGATGTTTCTTCTTACTTATTGCTCTTTTTCCTTTTGATTGTGTTTTGTACAGGGGCGCTGGAGAAGATGGGCAACTAGGATTTGGAACTTACGAAGAAAAGGAATGGGTTTGCATCGTTGAAGCTCTTGAGCCTTTCTTCACATATTATAAAAAAAGTTCATACTTTAATGATCCATTCTTTGTATTCTTGTATGTTAATAATTCTAGATTTTTTCACATGCATTGAATATAGTTTTATTCCTTCTCTTCTTCTTCATGACATAGTTTCTGAGGTTTGATCGGATGCTTTAAACAGATTCAGGCGGAACGTGGTGACTATGGCGGCTGAGCTGAAGCAAGTGAAAGTAAACCCCTTTGATTATTCTCTGATTGTTCTTTCTTTTGGATTGTGTCTTTGTGGGGTCAATTTTGTGTTTATTTGTTTGTAAATGATTTGGTCCTTTTGTTTTGTTTTTTGTTTTTCTCTAGGAAGCAGAGACAAAAAAGCTAAGAACATGGAAAGGGAGATCTGTAAATTGCAGAAGACATTGGAAGATGGAAATTGCCAGCCTGAAGCTTCATCATCTGCTGCTACAAAAGGTTTTAACTTTCATATACCCTTTTGTCTTTTGAAATATAATTTATAAACTTAAAAGACTCCAATTTTGATACTATAGTTTGAGAAAGTTTTGGTCTTTGAGAAATTTGTTATATGGTACTGCAAAAAAAGTATATTTGGTTTCAACTTTCTGAGCTATTCCATTATACTTTAGTATATATTGGATCGATGGCTCTTTTAAGTATATTTGGTTTCAACTCAAGAACCGTTACTTTCTTCAACACTCAATGCAACTAGTTAGGTAGTAGTCTTGCTCGGTTGTTGATTGGTTTACTTAGGAAGGTAGTAGTCGTGCACCTATTGTGTTGTCTATTGGTGCAAATTTGTTCCCATGAGGAAGCCCAAGAAGCTACCTGGTGTGTGTTCCTTTTACTCCTCTCGTTGCTATTTTGATATTGAGTTATTTCCAAAGATTCTCTTGCTATGTTGGATAACATGGGAAGTTGTTTATTTATAAACCTTTATAAATATTTATAGACTTCTAACTAGAACCTGCGATCAGCCTTTTTTTCTACTGAATCTGAGTTAAGATAGTTTCTTTGTCCCCTTCAGTATGTCCAGTAACATTCAGTTCCCATGTTACTGAATCATTATATAGACTGATTGATTTTGAAGTTTGAACTATTTTCCCAGTGTATTTTATTGCATAGTTTTCTCATTTATAACCTTTGTGTCATCATGCTATCCATTGACCAAAATATTATGATCATTCTGTAACTTGATGAGACTGTGATATTGACGTATTTGGAAAACACAGGTGGCTGAACAAAAACTAAGAGAAGAAGAACAACGACAGAGACGTAATCAGGTAAAATTTATCACTTGGAGTAGTAGAAAACCAAAGGAACTAACGGTTTTGTGGTGTTGTAAGAGCAGAATACAAACATGGGACATAATCAAGATCCAGGAATGGGAGGGCAAGGAATACCTTCTCAGTTCTCGATGCCTTTAAACCCTGATATGATGAGCATGTTCATGAACATGACGGGAAACAGAGGAGGAGATGGTAACATAAATGGTACAAATGAGCATGAGATTCGTGTAGGCGGAAACATCAACATAGATCTTGGCGCTGCGGATCGAATGCCTGAAGAGTTTTCAGGTGCATTGCGATCAATGATGCAGATGTTTGGAGGATCTCAGGAAGGTAACAATAACAGTCCTCAAGGTATTAATGGAAGGCCATCTGGAAATTAATCTCAAGAGTAATGTGTGTTTTATGGTTTGTGCTCCAAAGACTTTGTTAGGTTTTGAATTTTAACAGCAGACTGATGTAATGAAAGTGATGTTTTCTAAAACTTCGATAGACATACAGTAATAGTATGTGGTAAGCATACATGATGAACATGAAAAAGTGAAATTCATATCTTTTTTTTTCTTTTGGTAACTCAAAATATAAAGTGAAATTCATATCTAACCTCATAATTCTCAGAAACAAAAGGTAAATCGTTATAGTACTATACAATTTGAAAAGAAAAAAGAAAAAAAAGCCAAACCCACCGTACTGATCCAAAAGCGCATCGTGAATATCTAAATCTGATACTTGGAAGATGTTCTTACAATATACAATACAGTTGTCAAAGAAGCACACAGTCATAGACCTTCTTGTATCCTAATTACCATGTAAACCCTTGCATGGTAACTTAAGTTATAAGTTCTTGTACTGGTATGCTATAAGATACCATGCTCGAATGGGTTATGATTGTACATGTAGCAACATACCATGCTCGAATGAGTTATAAGTTCTTGTACATGGTTTTATAAACCCTTATAAATAGTTTTATAAATAGTTATAAATGTTTTATAAACTTCATAAATGGTTCATACAAGGTTTTATAAAAAATCTTATAAAATTTAAAATGGTTCATAACCGGTTTTACAAACTCTTATAAATGATTTATATACAAAACTATTTTATATATCCATATGATTGGTTTAATAAACCTTTATAAACATACATATTCGAGCATGGTATCTTGCCATTGGTAGTTCAGATCTTGGCTCATATATTGGAATGACTGATTTATAAAAATTTATAGTAAGAAGTATAACTTATTTATAAGAACTTATAAAATTATTTATAAAGATTTATAAGTTTATTTATTAATTTTATAAAATTAATTTGAATTATATGAGTTATTAATGAGTTATTAGTGTTTATAAAGACATACAATGATTTATAAAGGTTTATAATTTGATTATAAGAATTTTAAACATATTTATAAGGGTTTAAAAACTAATTTATTAAGGTTTATTTGTTAATTTATGAAATACTACTTATTAAACTAATATATAGAACATTCTGATTAACCACATATTTTATTTATAATGGTCTGTAAGTTTGATTTATAACTGTTTATAAAACCTTAAATTAGTTTATAAATATTTATAGTTAAGTTATAGACTCCGGTATATGTTTTATAAAGTATTATAAATCAATTTATCAACCCTTATGAATCAATTTATACATTCTTGTAAATCAAAATATAATCTTATAAAATAGTTTATAAAATTTTATAAATCAGTTCATGAACTCTTATAAGCCTTTATAAATGATATATACGCTTTTATATATAATATATTAACTCTTGCAAAATGTTTTATAAACCCTTATAATTTATTTATCAATCCTTATTAATTATTTTTAAATTCTTAATATTAAACATACATCCATGATGCTTTTAAAATTTTTTTTAAGTAACTGAATGGTTTTGTACGACCTTATATTTTTGTATAAACTCTAACAACTCTTAAAATGATTATATAAACTCTTACAAAATGATTTATAAACTCTTATGAATTGATTTATAAACCCTTATATGTTTTTTGTAAACTCTTATAAATTAATTTATAAACCCTTATTAGTTAATATATAACCCCTTATAAATTACTTTAACCTTTATGAGTTAATTTATAAACCCTTATAAATGACTTTATAAATCCTTATAGATGGATTATTTATGTTTGCAAGAACGAAACATCTATAATGATTAATAAAACTATTTACGTGTGTTTATAAGAGTTTATGAACCGTTTAAGAAGTTGATAAAAAACTTATAAATATTTATAAACTATTTATAAATGTTTATAAAACTATTTATAAGGGTTTATAAAAACATCTATAAGAACTTATCACCTATTTATAAGAGTTTATAAATCTATTTACAAGGTTTATAAATCTATTTATAAGGATTTAAACAAAATATTAAAAGAGTTTAATAATCTTCATAAAACAATTAATAAGAGTTTTCATTTAGAAGAGTTTTCATTTAGAAGAATTTATAAATCATTAATATTAATAAAAATATATAAATTCTTACAAAAATTCATAAGTGGATCCTTATAAAGGTATTTATAAGTGTTTATAATGCTCTTATCAGTGTTTGAAATTATTTACCAAAATCATTTTCTAACCAAATGCATCATGAATGTATGTGTAGTTATAGAATTCATAAATGATTTTGCAATGCTTTAAATCATCTTGTAAGGGTTTATAAGAGCTTTTTCGTTTATGTTTATAGCTTTATAAGAGTTGATCAATCAAATATGAAAGTTTAAAATCATTTTATAAAGTTTTGAAAACTATTTATAAGGATTTATAAAACTATTTATAAGGGTTTATAAAACCATGTACAAGAACTTATCACCCATTTATAAGAGTTTATAAATCTATTTACAAGGTTTATAAATCTATTTATAAAGATTTATACAAAATATTAAAAGAGTTTAATAATCTTTTATTGAATTGATCACTCTCTTCTCCGGCCTGCAAGTAAATTATATACCCTTAATCCTGTGCATGTACCATTGATACACACAGTTTCCTCAAGGCTCTCCTCCACTCCTCTCGGATCATCCATGCAAGTGCGCCTGTTTCCACGTTTTCAACCACACAAAAAAAAACAACAACAATGTTTCTTGCTTTCTTTTTCATTTAAATTCAAGTCTACATATAAGATGAATTTTGGAACCTGTGGAGCATCAATTCTATTTCACCGTCTTTGATACTACCACCACCAGTAGCCCTATCAACCAGCACCGACAACTCTACTTTCTTGTCTTTTGTGTAGATTCCCAGATTAAGCTGAATATTACTCACACAACACAATCCTTTTATTAACACTTACTCAACATTTGATTGATCTACTCCAAAGTTTTCACATCAATAGTNTTTCTTGTCTTTTGTGTAGATTCCCAGATTAAGCTGAATATTACTCACACAACACAATCCTTTTATTAACACTTACTCAACATTTGATTGATCTACTCCAAAGTTTTCACATCAATAGTTTACCGGATAGTAGTTTCCTGCTATTGGTTCATTCACTTTGAGAACCCAGTCTGTTCTGTTATCCCTGACCTGCAACACAACGTACATTCAAAGTTCTTATACCCTATCAATTCTATTATAATACACATCGATGTATAATGCAAGTTATCAAGTAAGGGAAAACTAGCCTGAGCAGCAGATGCATTGCCAGATCTCATTGCCTCAGTCAAGTAAGATTTCAGTAACTCGACAGGTTGGAACTGTTCTTGGAGTCCAAATGCAAAACCGCATCAATCTGTTTCCCACTGTTCAAGAGATAGGACTAATGGTGAAGGTAGATAACTTTGATGTGCACTACAAACGTTAGAACATACAAATTCATCTTATCTTTAGATCCTTGACCAAAGAGTTGAGTTAACTCACTAAATACCACACATCAACCTTCACATCAAAATGTCAAAACATGTATGATAACAAGCCATATTTTTAAAATTAGAGAACAAACTAGGCATTTTTTCAGACAACCCAAGAGAAAGGCAAAGCTCAGCTGCCTGACAGCGACGTGAAACCATAGGGATCAGCTACAAGAGTTCCTCTTCTTAAAAGTCGGAAACAATAGCAAAAGTGGCCAGTAGTTGCAGGACCGCATGCGCCTCCAAAGAGTTACCATTGCAGGCATCCATCTCAAGATTTCCCAGCAGTGGATTCCATCCTTCAGCAATAGCTTTTGTTTTCTGCTTAACATCTTTTGAAGAACAGCAGCAAGGGAGTTTCTGTCTAAACCAGATAACAGTATGCTAAGGCACTCCATCAACATGAGACAGGTCCTACGCATCCCCAAGAGGTTAGCGTCTTTCTTCCCATCAGTGTTTGGTGCCTCCATGGGGTAAAAACCTTCCAAAGAGTTCAACACCAAGCTCGCCAGGTTTGCTGCAGCCTTGAACGCCACAGGAATCTCCTCCTTTAGTGATGCAAGGTTCTTGCGGTTGTCTGATACAAACTTATGGAGCCATGCTGAGTCCATATCACCACAGAGTTTCAGTAACTGTGGATAAGCCTTAACCTCAAAGTTTCCAATCACAGGTGAGATCTCAGCCTCCTGCACAGTACCATCCCTATTCTCATCGGTACCAAGCAAAGGCATCGGGTGAATCCTCTATACATTCACCAATGGGAGCATTGTTGTACTTGACCAAAGCATTGTTTATAGCAAACACAGCTGCGTCTCTCTTCTTCTGTTCCTGAAATCTAATGCCTCAGGAACTTTCTGCAATGGCGAATTTGGTTTTTGAGTAATCTGGAAAGCTTCAGCTTCTTCATCAGATGGCTGAAACACGCAACCAAAGTAAGATAGAGCTGCTTGTTCCCTAAGCTCAGCAATCGTAGGGTCATAATAGGAGAAACCATAAGAAGCCTCTGCATCCAAGCAGCTTGTAGATAAAACTATAACAGCTGTAGATGAAGAGATCTAATAACCAAGATATAACAGTTCCAAGCCTAAGCATAACCACACAAAAGTAGCTACTTTACACTATACACAGAGACTCAAACCAATGTGTACTCAAAGACTACATCAGTAAACTATAACAGTTACCACAGACACAAAGTTAGCTACTTCCCACTAATTTCAGAATCTCCACAATCAACATCCCTATAAGATTCGATTTTACTCGCCTCCAAATCAATAGAAAGAGTCTCAGCAACATGACACATGATAGAATGAACAAGCTTGCTCTTATTATACCTCTCTTCACAAGTCTGAATATCCTCCTCGCCAACCCTAAGCTTACTCGGATCTTGTCTGGTTCGTGAGTGTATTCTCGATCATCGCCGCCGCCGCCGGAAGTCTCGTCATCGTCGATCGTGGAGCGACGGTAACGGTACAATCGACATCAGCAGCGAGGGAATTCTCTGGCTGTTATTATCAGGAGTATAGCTAGACGTCCCGGAGAAGCTCATCGAGATCGGAGAAGACCGTCACGCTCGCCGTCACAGCTTCTGGAAATGATAAATTGGCCGTCGGAGGACGATAGAAAGAAAATAGAAGAGAAGATAGGAGAGGCTAGTATTGTCTTTTTTCATTAATGAATTGTGTATTTATGAAAATGTCCCTTGAGTAGTGGTAAAGTTGAATTGTGGTATCACAAAAATGGTATTTGTGCAATTGTCCCAATAAAAAGAACACTCGCATTGTTGTGTGGGTTGATATCTAGTTTAATTTAAAGCACAGATTAAAAATATTTCAGTGGCATAGAATCATAAATATCTTTAAAAGAGAAGGGCACCTGAAAAAAAAAGCATTCTGTCTTAAAATATTCCATCGGGTCAAACCCATTTTATTCGGGTAAAACTGCTTTGATATAAAGCATAACTTCAAAAATAATGCAGTGGCATTTTGCTATAAATACTTGCAAAAGAAAAAACACTTTTAAAAAGTGACTTACGTTATAATAGTATAGATTAAAATATTTACTCAGAAATTTTGAATATTAAGATCTTATTAAAATCTTCTAAACAGATTTGTTAGATTTTTTTTAAAAAATAATGATATTTAAAAATGAAAAGATATCAAAAGATATTATGATTAAATTAGTTCAAAAGATGATCCAAATTAAAAAAAAAATCACACATGAAATAAATCATAATTTATATTTTAATAGATAAGACTAGATTTTGACGTGCAATTTCAAAACACGGGATGAATTTTCGATCAAAACATTATATAATGTTTTTTTCTCGAATATAAAATTTATACCCAAAGTCCAAACCGAACCCAAACTACAAAAACCCTATCCATAGTCGGTATAAACATAAAAAATATCATAAGGGATCTTGTAGGGTGTTGTAGGGTGGTAGTGGTACAAAACATATAAAAACCCGAAGTGTTATTACTTATTAGTCAACCCAACCAATAATCCAAAAAGCCTATGAAGTTTCAAAAAACCGATCTGAATGTCCAAATTAATCACAAATAAAAATGTTTTGAAACATAAATATATAATTTGAATCTCATTTCCCATGTTGATCAGACCCGGCCGGATCAAGGATATATTCGGAACGACTCAAACTCGACTACCACTTGATCTTTAAAAATGGGTGTTGACAAAATATATATATAATTTGCATATTTAATTCTATATATATTTTCGATTGAGATTTAGAAACAAATTATTAAATTTTAAAAAGTATATTAAATATCTTGATTCTATATAAATTGTATTTATTTCTTATGTTTTTCTTTAGATTTTTTGGGTTAAACTTTGGAAATATCCTGACCAAACCAGCATAAACTGTATTTTAACGATATATGATTATCTTATGGTTTTAGGATGTTATACAAATTAGAACCAAAACCAATGTATTATATCCAAACCCCAGTCTGTATTTACAAATTTAACATAATGAGACTTAGGATGTAATATAAATTATAATTATAATTAAAATTCAGAAAACCCAACTCGTATCCAAACAATTAAAAAGTGGTTAAGAATATCTTTTTGATATCTTATTTTGAATACATTTAAATTACATGCTAAGATTATGTGCTTATTTAATAATAACTAAGTTTGTTATACGTAAAATAAAATAAAATTAAATAAATGTAATGGTATAAACTAGAATACTTTCAAGTAGATAAAAACTGTTTTTGTTTTAATAGTATTGATGGCAAACATTTTTTTATCTCTACCAATACATCAAATTGTACATCAAAATAATTTTATATATTATTCAATTTTCAAATTTAATAATTTTATATTTTTATTATTTTTAACTATCACACTTATTTATTAAGTTTTTTTTTTAATTTTTTTAGTTTTATGTTTATAAAATTTATTTACATTTATATTTTTGGTTTACCAATATTATATCTTTATGTATTTATTTTATATAATATATTAGTTATGTTCAAAATTATTAAAAATGAAAAGTCATAACAAAATAACATAAGAATTTTAATAAATTTTGTATTAGTTAATAATACAAGTTTAACTATTTATAATATAAAATATTATATTAATTTTTGATAATTACATCAAATTCTAGTTAGTTACTATTAAATCTAGCTTATCTTATTAATTTCTATATTTTATTAAATATTAATCAAAATTTATACTTTTAAAAGTAAAAAAAAAAATCTAATGATTTTTTTTTACAATATGACGTAAATAATAATATATATAATACTCGTTTAATAAATTATTAATAAAAATAGGTTATATTTAAGTTATATTACAAATTTGAATTAATTAATAATATTTATGGAATTATATTATTAAATGAAATAGAATAAAATATATAATTTTAAATTTGGTATAACATTATTCACTTTACACTAAATTTGATGGAATAATATCAAATTTGGTACTTGTTAAAGATGAATTTACACCAAATTTGATGTTTTGGTATCATTGTTGAAGATGACGTAACAGTGTTAATCTATTAAATAAAATCATTTAAACATAGTTTGTTTTAATTCTAAACAATTTACTAAAAATGCCTGACATTATTTTCCTTTGCAATAAAATTATTTAAATTATTATTTCTTTATCTATAATACTCAACTTATTTTTAATAAATGGTTAATATTTAAACATTTTAAAACCTACAATCTTAAATTTAGCTAATAGGAATGTTAAATAAAAATAAAAGTGAACATTACTGAATTATTTATCTTTCAAGAACTTTAATATATATTGAAACAAATGTAATGAGATGAATATCAAAATAAACATAGAACTGCCTTTCAAACGGTTTCCTTTTATTTAGAAAGTAAACTAAACTAGATTGTACATTGATATCAATTAAATTATCATTTGAACAATTTTACTCTGATATAAAAAAAAATTCAGTTATAGTATTTAAAATTCCTATGACCGGGTTGAATGAAATTTTCTTGAAGTCTTAAAAATTCAGTTATAGTATTAAGACATATATGTCAAAAGCCTATGATCGGGTTGAATGAAATTTTCTTGAAGTCTTACTTGAAAAAATGGGTTTTGATCGAAAATGGGTCGCTTGGATTATGTCATGTATTTCCACTGTCACTTTTTCAGTGTTATTAAATGGAAGATCTCATGGTTTTATTAAACCTGAAAGAGGAATACGTCAGGGCGACCCCTTATCTCCTTTTTTATTTATCTTATGTGTTGAAGCTTTAGTACATGTTTTAAACAGAGCTGAAACACAGGGGAAGTTACATGGTATTAAGTTAGCTAAAGGTAGTCCTTCTGTTCACCATTTGCTATTTGCGGATAATAGCTTGTTGTTATGTGAAGCCTCTATCAGAGATAGTGTAGAAATTCTGAATTGTTTGGAAATAAATGGGGAGGCTTCTGGACAAATGATTAACCCTTTAAAATCTTCTATCATTTTTGGGAAAAGCGTTACTGATGACACAAACATGATATAAAGAGGGTTTTGGGTATTGATAAAGAGGGTGGTAAAGGTTCATATCTGGGTCTCCCTGAATGTTTTCAAGGATCAAAAAAAAAGATCTTCTAAATTTTATTAAAGAGAAATTAGAAGGCCGACTCCAGGGATGGTATTCCAAAACTTTATCAATAGGGGGCTAAGGAAGTCCTAATAAAATCGATCGCTTTAGCTCTCCCCATATATGCAATGTCAGTTTTTCGATTACCAAAAGGTCTTTGTGAACGACTTACGAGTGCGATTATTGAATTTTGGTGGAGTAGTGGGGATAAAAAAAGAAAGATTCCCTGGATTTCATGAGAAAAATTATGTAAACCAAAAGAACAGGGGGGTCGTGGGTTTCAAGACATTGGCTGTTTCAATCAGGCTTTTCTTGGAAAACAAGCTTGGCGAATTTGGAATAATCCTGATTTTTTGGTCTCACGCGTTCTTAAAGGAAAATATTTCAAGAATGGAAATTTTCTGGAATGTGGTATGGAAACACGCCCCTCATATGTCTGGCGAAGCATCATGCATGGTAGAGAATTACTTAAAAAGGTCTATATCGACATATTGGAAATGGGGCTGATACCAATGTTTGGGCGGAAAATTGGATTATTGATACCATTCCCCGGCCACCAATGTACCGGGAAAATAGCACCATAGATCTAACACTAAATGTGTCGGATTTATTTATTCAGGGGTCGAATCAGTAGAATATTAACCTATTGGATC